TGCTGGTATGGTTATGGAGTTTGATGGTAGATGAAGATTAAACTAAGCTGGAATATGAGCAAGACAAGTTCCTTTGGAGGGTTAAAGGGACTCTCTAATTACTAAGTCGATGTAAGGAGGAAAATTGTGGTTTGAAAAGACAATGATACAAGTATAAAAGAAGATAATGAATAGTGACATTAAAAAGAAAGATTCAAAACCTCTCACTTTTAGCATCTTGGTTGCTTATATAGTTAAGAATTTCGTTAAGTTGCATGAACAAAGAGGTAAGACAGTCCATTTCTTTGTTGTCGACAACCTTTGAAATCCTCGTGACTCGTGAGGGATAAATATTTTTAATGTTGAAAGATCACAACTAGGAGAGTATAATGGTGTCATGGTTGATGCTAGTTAGATAGAACCGACCTTACAAATATGTTCTTATTTAATAGATGTACTATTTTTTTTTCCTAGCTGGTGAGATTGGGTATGACAATTTAGGTTATGACCATTCGGAACACTCATTGAAGTGATTTAAAAAGTTATATTTGTCCACCTATACTTGAGGTATAGTTCCATCTTCTTAGACTCTTATTCAAGATGATAGTTTAACTTGATAGAAATTATATAATAACATGTGTCATCAATATATATCTAATCTTATATATATATATTTTTTGGGTAGTCATTGATTTAAAGATCTAGTTTGGTTTTGAATTTAATAATTATAGTAGGGATGTTAACTAAATAAAATTGAAAATCGATAACAAAAGATGAAGATAATATATATACATATCTAGAAATTAATCTACTAGTTGATATGGTTGTGGGTGGGGTTTCGTGATAAATAATAGGCATTAAAGAGCTTGTAGCCTAGTGTTAGTAATCTTTTACAAAAGACTACAAATTTAAATTCTAATAGACTAGTCTACTAAGAGTCTTGGGTGTGTGAGTTATTAAATAATAATAATAATAATAATAATAATAATAGGTCTCCCGTTGTTGGCTTGTTCTTTGTTGGGCAAGTCTGAATTCTCATGCCTATGGGTTGAGAAAATTTCCCTTTTATGTGTATTTATTATTAGGTCGAGTCCTAATTTCTCTTGCCGACTTGCACTCGTTATTGCCTCAATTAACTTAACCTAGGAATGCTACTTGTTAGTTTATTTCATGTTTATAAGGAGCTGGTTTTCCATTAAACTTTGGGAAACTTTCTTCAAATTTAGGAGATGGTTGGTTTTTATGATGACACTTACATATTTGAATTATTCTATAGGGACAAATTAAACTGATAGCATAATATCTTAAAAAAATTGAAACAAAAAAAAGGGAAAAACCCTTATATGTTACCTCACTAAAATATCTAATAACCAGTAATGTCCTAAAAGAAAAGGAAAAAAAGGCTAAAACTTAAATAGTATTATCCTGTAAGAACAAATTTTAGATAGTACTAGCTAGGTTGCTTGCGCTACGCTAAGGGTTTGGTAGAACAAAATCATTTTAAAATTTTTTTAATTATAATTTCTTATTTCATTAATTTTTACTAATGTTTTTTATAATTTTTTGTTTAAAAAAACATAAACTATTCTTCTTTATGGATTAATTTTAACTAAAATATTAATCAAGAATTAAAAAAACTTTAAAAATATATTTTTCATAAATTGTATTCCAAAAAATAAAATTATAATTAATAGATAGACATTTTATAAAAACTAACAAATGAAAAAAAAATTCTTATTTAATGCTAATGAAAAGATTAATTTTTTAAATTATTCACGCAACATCTGCGGGTAGATAGAATAAAATCATTTCAAAATTTTATAATTTTTTATTTAATTATTACTATTTTTTTCATAAAATTTCTTCTTAAATTTTTTTTCTATATTTAGGGATTCCTAAATAAAAACTTATGATTTATAATTTACACCCGAAATATTAATTAAGAATTTAAAAAAATATATTTTTTATAAGAATATGCCTAAAAAATAAAGTTACAATTAAAGTCTAGACTTGCATAAAAATTAATTAATGAAAAATAAAAATTTATTCTTATTTAATGTTGATGAGAAGATTATTTTTTAAAAGTATATACATTTGATCTATATATATTATATAATCGTCAATTTGTGTGAAAAAAAGTAACGAAAAAAATTAATGATTGATTTTTAAAAATTTTCACACCCAATTAAATAAAAAAAGAATATACATTGATGGAAAAAATGAAAAAAAAAACCAAAGAAAAAAAAAAGAAAAGGCGAGTAGTGCATCGGCTAGGGATTAAAATTTTTATTTTAAAATTTCGAGTTCAAAACAAAATAATTTGAAAATTACAAAAAAAAAAAAAAAAACCTAAGAAAAAAATGTAAGAGTGAAAAAAAAAAAAACCCTAAGAGTGAACAAGTACACTCGTGAGGGTAAAAAACAAAAAAGAGTGGATAGTACATTGTGAGAGTAAAAAAAAAACAAAAAAATAGGGAGTGAATAGTATATTGTAAGGGGGAGAACAATTTTGCCATAAAAATAAGTACTTTAAAAAAATATATTGTTTTATAAGAATATATTGAAAAAAATAAAGTTAGAATTAATGTATAGACTTATATAAAAATTATCCAATGAAAAAATAAAATTTTATTCTTATTTAATGCCGATGAGAAGATTTTTTTTGTAAAGCATATACATTTGATATATATATATCATATAATTATCGGTTTATGTGAAAAAAATAACGATTAATTTTTAAAAATTTTAACACCCAATCAAATAAAAGAAGAACATAAATTGATGGAAAGAACAAAGAAAAAACCAAAGAAAAAAAAAGACATGTAGTGCATCGGCTAGGGATTAAAATTTTTATTTTAAAATTTTAAGAATAAAAACAAAATAATTTGAAAATTAAAAAAATATATATATATTTTGAAAATTAAAAAAAAATAAGAGTGAAAATTATATATATAAAAAAACCTAAGAGTGAATAATATACTGTGATGGTAAAAAAAAAAAAAAGTGGATATTCATTATGGGGGGATGATTTTTAAAGTATGTGTATTTGATATATATATATATATATATATATATATAATCATCAACTTCTATGAAAAAAAATAACGATTGATTTTTAAAAATTTTAACTCCCAATTAAATAAAAAAAACATAAATTGATGGAAAAAAGCAAAACGAAAAAACCAAAGAAAAAAAGAAAAGAAAAGACATGTAGTGCATCGGTTTGGAATTAAAATTTTTATTTTAAAATTTTAGAGATCAAAACGAAATAATTTGAAAATTACAAAAAAAAAAAAAAACTAAGAGTGAAAATTAAAAAAAAAAATCAAAACAAAATAATTTGAGAACTAAAATAAACCTAAGAAAAAAAGAAAAAAAAAACTAAGAGTGGAAATTACCAAAAAAAAAAAAAAAACAACAACAACAATAAGAATGATAGTAAAAAGTGCCCTAAAAGTGAATAAAAATGTGAGGGTTAAAAAAAAGAAAACAAAACAGATGGAACAGTGATTTGTAAAGGGTGAATAGTGTTGCCACTGTTCAAACCCCCATGCTTTTTAGTATATTACTAATGTACGATATTAGTATCTATATATTTTCTTGTCAAATTAAGAAAATATTAATTCATTACAATTTATTCAATATATAACCATTGAATAAAGATATTTTATATAAAAAATGAATTGATTAGCATATAATAGAATTAGGTGTTCGTGATAATATTGTAAATTCATCAATTAATATTTTTCTGAAAATATTTTGGACAAAGTAACTCATATCAGACTATAATTCATTATCAAGAAAATAAGCCATATTGTGAGTGATAATATTGGAAAAAAAATCAAATGTAAAATTATACTTAAATTCTATAAAAAGTTATATAATTATGTTATTGTAATTGCTTTAAATTATGTTTTACGTTGATTTAATGGTCCCATGATAATTATTTGATGGAATCTTTTAGAAACATTTGATACAAAGAATTTTAAAAATTCCCACTTTCAAATAGTTAAAAAAAAAATAGTCAAATAATTTTTTAAAAAAAATTGCATTCTAAAAATGTGATAAGTCTTTTTTGGAATTTAATTCTAAGAATTAAGATGAATTGGTGACATGAGTTTGGATTCCATACAAATCGTAGTTGGAAATTGGATTCAAAATACCGTTTGAAATCATAGAATCATATGGTTTTTTTTTTTTAATTGTTCTGGGCGATTCATCAAGAGTAACTACTAGTTGTTATTCTTAAAACACTATAATTTTTTTCATTATTATTTGTTTTTGTTTGATAGTTAGGGATATTATTTGACAAGTTTAAACATTAATTGAGATTTTTTTTTCTAAACAATTTTAAGAGCATGTATTAGTATAGATCCGTTGTTTTTAAATTTGAATTCCGCAATTAAAAAAAAAAACAACAAAATTTTTAACAATTAGTATTAGGTATTAAATTTTTTTTGTTAATTAATTAGATGCCGATGTATCTTCTTGCTACAGCATAAATGCAACTTTAATATCCTTCCAATTGTGTACATTGTTGAAAAAAATTCTTAACCATCATAAATTCAAGAACTTGTATCGAATTTTTCCAAAGAACGAAGACAGCCACTCAAATATCTAGCAGAACTTGCGGGCTTCTCCTCAATTCTAGTGAAGATCCTACTTAGAATTAGTCTTGTCTACTTTTTCCAGAACTGGCTGTGTGCTGCAACTTGATGAAAGCAACCAATAGGAATTGGGCAAAATCTTTAAGAAGAAGAGATGCTTTTTTTCTTTCTGGGAAAGCGCATTAAAAAAAGGAAGCAAGAAAGATGGTGAGTGGATTATCATGTAAGCATATCCCATGCCAGCATTTCACCAATCATCTTAACACTACCAATGGCCACTGAGGCTCCTTGTCCTTGGCCTGATCATGTTCCCTCGGTGTGTAATGTACCATATGCTATGTCTTCCTCCCACCTTCTCCCTCTCTATCTCCAATACTTACCTTTCAATTTCCCCAACTTCTTATTCCCTTCTTCATGGCTCAAATTTCACCATCTCCCACACTTAGTCCCACCATGAGCACCTCTTCATGTCATGATCAATCCCAAGAACCAACCGCAGATTTCAATGTGATGGTCATTGTTGCTGCAATGTTATGTGCCTTAGTTTGTGCTTTGGGCCTCAATTCCATGTTACAATGTGTATTTCAGTGCACACAACGTGCAATAACTGAACCAGCAGAATGGATATCTTCTCGTAGACAGAACTCCGGTTTAAAGAAGAAAGAGATGGTTGCTTTGCCAACTTCAACTTATGCTCATCAAGGTTCACCATCATCAGCTTCAGGTTGTGCCATTTGCCTAGCAGACTTCGCCGACGGTGACAGAATAAGGGTCCTGCCTAAATGCAACCATAGGTTCCATGTTGATTGCATTGACAAATGGCTGCTCTCTCATTCTTCATGCCCTACTTGTCGGTTTAGGCTCAAGTCCAGTGAATCAGTGCCTTCTCTGGAACAGATAGTCACTGCTTAATGAAGTAGAAAATTAGTGAGTGTTTCATTTAATATAATATGTTTGATCTCCTCTTCCTTTTTCTTCTTACTTAGCTAGCCCTAGCCTGGTCTCTTGTATCATTCTTTTTTGTAGTGAGTATATTGAACGGAATCATGAGTAGACTCTTATATATTGGAAGGGTTGTTTCTTTGATTTTCGGTTAACAACCTGATGAACTGTACTCTTGCTAAGGAAGTCGTCCAACCAAAAAAAAAAAAAAACTTGATGTGAGTTTTTTAATCATTAATCTTCTTCTTCTTCTTCTTCTTCTTCTTCTTCTTTTTTTCTTTTTCTGGCCCTGATAAGAATAAATGATCCCCATCAAGCAACGATGGAACTAATTAAAAGGCGCTTAGTTTGTTTAACTTTCTTAGATGCTTACCCTGCATATCCATCCTTCCAATTTTATAATTTCTTTAGTTCATCAAAATTGAAAGAATTAGAGAGAAGAAATACTGAGTTGAAGAAATTACTAGGTAAACTACCAAAAGATTAAGTTGCTATTGCTTCATGCCATTTTTTTTCCTCGTCTTTTCATCCCCATGTCATTTATCCTTCCAATTACAGTGGCATGGTGATATTTCTATTTGCAAACCAGGCGCATCATTGTCCAAATGATTCAGATTTCAAACTCATTAGGAAGGATAATGCAATCTCGAAGTTGGACGCGACAATTTGTTGCAGAAAAGGATACCATGAAAGCTACCTCCACTTTATGTGTGAAGGAAACGCACTTGCACAGATTTTCGACACCATGATATCAAAGGGTATTGGACAATACAAAGCAAGCAATAATGGCAGAGAACCAAAGAGCTTGTAATCCGATAACAGTGATTTGTTAGATCACGGGTTTAAATACTAACATATTAATTTTATTAAAAAACTTGTGTGTGAGTTTAAGAAAAAAAAATAGCAATAATGGCAAAGGACAATAAAACATCATTTTGGCTTCAAAACCATGTCTCTCATATGGATGTTATATCAAGTTCTAGATTTTGAAGCTCCGGAGAAACAAAACAAGACAAGTGTATCGTTATTGGCGAGAGAATTATAAACTGCAATGATAATAAATGCATCCTTATTTATTTCACATAGAGGGTCCAACTCATATTTTAGACTGCACGAATCTTGCAAAAAATGTGGCTCTCCCAAACTGAAATCGTCTACCTACTTCTACACAAACACCAAAACTAAAGTATCAGTGCCCATCAATAATAAATAAACAAAGCTCTTCATTTGTCCTAGTCACTGTATTCTTCTTCTGTGTCATCGTCGTTGCAGTACTCATCACTATCACCATCGTATCTATCATATATAAGCCCTATTAACGGCTGCTTCGTCAGTTTCTCTTGAATTTGCTCTCTAATGGCCGTTCCCTGATGGAAATGCAAACCAAAATGTTCCGTAAGCATATGAAGAGAAATTATACATGCACATATAGACCACCACCCACTTAGTTTAGGCCAGGGGAGAAAACTAACCATTTTATGACAACGTTCTTCAAACATTTCAAGAAACCCAGCAACTAATCTATCAGCATTCTCCACCCACTCATTCCGATGCACACGGGCAGTTTTAGCAACTACTTGTATCTGCAGCATCAGAGCAGAATATATCATTCCAATTATAACAAGACATCTGTGACGTGGCAGTGATGCATTTAATTGATTTCTAGTTCTCCTCTATCGAATGGGAAGTAGTAGACAAACTTAACAGTCACATCTCACAAGAATATTAATTGGCTAGGCCTTCTCAACGTCAAGTTAAACTACCACTGGCAAAGATAGGGTCTGTTTCCAAGGAGACGCAAACTTAAAGACAGACAGAGGCAGGTGAGGGGTGAGTGAGTCTGGTTTCCAAGGCCAAAGTTGCTGATCAACTGGCATCATTCACAATAATAACTTGCATCATGCATTTCCAAGAGGCATGGCAGCACAGTAAACGGATGGTTCAGTATAACCAGATTTTGCTTACAAAACACTTCCAATACCGATCATTATAGCAATATGTATGTGCTTAATTAAGTAGGTCGCTACTATATAGTCTAATCGTAAACCAAATTAACAAATTGCTTCAACAATTAATTTTGAACATCAGATCTCACAAGGACAGAAAGTGAGCAAAGCTTGAAGTTAGATACTTTTGGAATAAAATATTAGTTCTACGTGATGCTATACTGCAACTTAACATGAGCAACCCTTGCACACAAGTGAAGCAAAAGATTTTTCTTTGGACAGAGCAATCAGTTGATTTCTAATTACCCTCTCCTTAATTTATTTTACGAAATTCATATGTTATTACTTGATTACAGAAGTAAGAGATGTCAGGAAGAAGATGAATGATAAAGCAAGAATCCATAAGGCACATGCTACACATCCTAATTCCCAAGATGCTACCCTATATTTGCAACAGCATTTGATTATGCTACTTGTCCAGATAAAAGGAGGAGAAATCTCTTGTGGTTCAATATAGGATCCACAAAAGGGAAAATTTGAAGCTTCAGATTCACGAAACCGTTGTCTGCACAGAAGCACTTAAAACAATTCTTACAATAGATAATTATCGCAAATATAAATTAAGAGATGCTACAGTGTAAAACAATGGATAATTTCTTGGCTGGTATGCTGGAGAGTCAACTGCTAAAATTTTAGATTACTGCTTTTAGGCCAGAACAGATTCTGGTTTCTTTCTAAAATTAGTTTGTCCTATACTGCCTCCAATCTTCAGCATATGTGCTAAACAATATTTAGAGTTTATTCCTTGTTCTTCACACAATTACATGTAAAACACGGGAAGAGAAAACAAAATGGCATGGTGCATTCATGGCATGAAAAATAGCCTCAGTTTATCAAGGTTGAACCTATTCCTCCAACAAAGAAATACAAAGTCTCACATTCTACAAATTGTGAACGCACATGCCATGCAAGTTTACAATTAAGTATATAAGCAATTGTGCATGGCAATTTACATACCTTTTCCCCTACTATCTCTTGCTGTTTCTTCACTTTCTCATGCAATTTTTTAAGCCCCATGTTAACTCTCAGCCGCTTTTCCTAGCAAAAGAGGATAGGGAATGAAAATAGATCAAGTCTCTGACAAAAGCACAATGGTCAGAACTTGGAAAAAAAAATTGCAAATAGAGTAAAATAAACCTTCACATAGCTGACACCCAAATCTTTTCTTGTATATCCACGAGCCAAATTACGCATGACATACTCGTTATAATCTTTAACAATCTTCATTAAAATATCTGATGTGGATATCCCTTCAGTCCGTTTTGTTTCCTTAAATCTCCCAACGGACTTGACCTGTATGAACATTTTTGTAGAAATGCATTCGAATGAAACCAGTTGTAGTTTGTTGTAACGGTGATGAGGCTATTATGTAATAATGATTTGCCAGATTCAAAAACTTATGTCGATCGTTGGAGAATCCTGTTTTGTCTATTGAGTTCACTGCTCATGAAAAGTCATCATGACCGTGGGAAACTAAGGTAGCAATAATGCACAGAAAATTGGCAAAATATTGTCCTGAACAGCGAAGAAAAGCCTTATAATGGTGACTAAGTAAATTGAAAGACAAGATACAGGTCAAGAAGCAATGGCTTGAGTGAGGTAAAAGGTACCCCAATGGCAAATCTTTTACTAACAATGACAAAATATTTTTTTCCCATTGCCATTTCTGGAAAGGTTCCATATTTATGAGATGGTTAATTCAAGAGAGACTCAAAATAATAATAATGATGATGATGAACTGGTCTTTACCGAGGTAGGTAATGCCAATTTTTATGAAACAAATAGTAATGTGCTGCTCAGCAATCAATAAACCAGCAAATTTAGACATATTTCCCTGTCACGTATGAGGTTATGATAGCGAGGAGAGTCATTGTTGCTGTGAGAAAATACAGGTAGCACTGATGATATGATAGCACAACCTTACAAATATTAGGTCTAGCACATAAAAAATCAGCCATGCTGATGGAAGAGAAGATAGAAGCTATAAAGAATGATAAGCCCACATACAGTAGAATTGAAGAAATTTATTCTCATCACCATTTATTGAAAGGCTTTATCAAGCCAAGGTGAGTCAATGCTTGTGAAAAGAAAAACTCAGCTATCACCGAACTTACAAATTCATAGACATCCTTTCCGGCCCCACTTGCATCGGCATAACTACAATTTTAGGGCAAACAGAAAACAATTAACGTATTAAAAGGCAGGAGGAGAATAAACACGGACAACAACAAAAGTCATGAAGGGCAACAAGGAGGCAATAACACAAAGGTGATGAGATTTTATTTCATCTACACATGAAAGCATGTATTATGGTGCGAGATGCCAAATGAAAGTACCGCCAAAAAAAAAAGATGTCAAATGAAGGCGAACAAGAAAATATTAAAATAGTAAAGAACATAGGAAGTTAAATGAAAACAATTTTATGTAACAGATCGAATCAACAATATACTTAATGTAACTTAGATGGTAAATGGAAGGAGTACAAACTATGAACCACCGCCAATAGGGTCAGTAAATTAATTAGAAGCAGGTCTTGAACATGTGTTGCACAAAAAGAAATAGAAAAACATTAAACACATTGCCTGCGCATACAGAAAATGAAGACACATGGTGATATTTAGTTTCCACGCAATTTCACAAGTTATTGAACTAAAAGTTAACATATCTTCTAATTCAGCAATGATTTTCTTCTTCAAATAGTCAACTGGAAGACCAAAAAAGATACAAGCATGCAGTTTCCAGGAATCTTTTTAAATGGTTGGAATGACAAGCAGATAAGTCCATTTGGGCTGATTAACCTTACGGTAGAGAGTCGTGAGCCACATAATCAATCCTATGTTGGTCAAGAAACTCTTGTGTGGTAACCCATGGCGCATCAGGGATAACTTCGTCAACCCACCTGCAAAGTTTACAGTTAATCAATCCTACATGCACTCTAGTCGCAAGATGGAAATTACTTGTCCAAATTTAATATCTAAGATAAAATAAACAACTAAGTTTTGACAACAGACAAGCTCCCAATACAAAACAAAGTTTAACAAAAGCAAAACCATGAAAATAAAATATATGAGAAAGTAACCTGATCAATGAGCTTATATATATATATATATATATATATATATATATATATAAACAACTATACAATCTGCTACCAGGAATACAAAACAGAATCAAACAAAACCCTGCACTCTTCGACAGGAAATTTTTTTTGCATCTGCATGTTATCTTCTGGTGTACTCTATACAATTCACCCTGTAGAAAAATCATCGATGCCAACAACGAGAGGTTAAAGAAGGAGCACGTCTAAAGTACGACAACAATCTATGTTCATGGTCTAAATTTTGTAGGAGGCAGTTAAAAGTTCTTAACGATTTATCATTCTAATTTCTACACATCAGAGAAGGAAAGTTTTTCTTGGGAATTTCTTCTTCTTCTTCTTTTTTAATTAAATAAGCAAATAGAGGATGTTGATCCTTAGAAAAAAAAAAAAAGTTTAGTTCAAATATTTGATTCAGTTCAAATTTCCTTTAAAGGAAAAGGAAGGGTTTGGATTTGGATCATTATAATGATTTTAGCAAATCATTTTTCATGTCATGCACACTATTCATACTCCTACCACTTCTTGTTTATTTGGTTAACCAGAACATGGAGGAATACTCCTACCCTGTAAGGTCAAGGCCTTCGTTTCCTTTGCTGTCTTTAAGAAGACTAGTATTTATAGCACATACATTGCATTTGTATCAATAAAATAGTACAAAAATGTTAAAATTGATTCTAATAAAATGAAAAAAAAATCACGAGTTTAAAATCCTGTCAAATGCTATGTAGGAATAAAATTTGAATAAAACCACATATCTTTTAATACGCGCTAAATATAATTTTTGAGAAGCAATTACTAAAAAATAAATAAAAGTTGAATATTTTGTTCTATTTATTTTTTCATTATGGAAAATTACCAATAAGTTCACTTGTAATGAACAAAAGACTAGAAATGTTATAGACTAATAAGTTCATATTAAAAAAATCATTTTTTACACATATATTTGATTATCAGTTTTCTTTCCACATGTTTCGCATGTGTATTATTCAACTACATAGTTAATATTTTTTATTAATTTTTTTCATGGAACTTTTTCAATAGTTAATAGCTAAAAAATACAATTCCATATATATATTTATCATGAGAGCTTCTAAAATTATTCCTTATTTAATTTCATATAACTTTCTTATAAGCATATTTAAAAATTAAAACAACATTATTTATATCATGCTGTTATAAGAAAGTTTCAGGTCTTTCTCCAGAACAAAAGGAGGGACAGAAAGAAAACTTTATTCTTTCTGACAAAGCATGTAATTAATTGTTTCAATTAAAAGAGAAAGGAATAAACATTTTCATCTAAAGAAGTCAATGATAACATAAGACTATGACTAAGGGTTTCTTGCAAAATAATTCTAATTTAATAGTTTGCTAAATTTTTATGTAATTTTTTTTAAATTTTATTATACTTGGGGTGAATAAAAATAAAAATATAAAGGCATGAATGGAAAATCTCTGAGTGGTTTTTTTTTAAAATATTAGTAGTGATTATAGAATGTTAAAATATGATAAAGCATAGCCTAAAATCATTTTTTTTTATATAGAGCGTTCCCCGCGGGGCCTTCCCCTTCACTAACTAGACTGACTTGGGGTTCTGATCACTTATATTTAGTAATATAGTTGAAAACTCTTGAAAAAACTCCAAGGAATTGACATAAATAAATTTTAGTCTTTTTTTCAATATTAGTAGGAATTGTACAAAAAAATAACAAAAACTTTATGATTACTGGTGTCTAAAAGAGTCAAAGGTCATATAAGACAATAATTAAGGATTTCATATAAAAGAAACTAATAATTTGATAAATTTTTGATGCAATTTTATTATTTTTTAGATTTTAATTATTGACTTTAATTGACTTGTTGTTAATCATTTTTATAGTTTTGATAGTCAAAATGAAGTTCCAATAAGACACTATATATAGGTTAGAGGTGGTTTAAAAAGCTTATTTTATATTATTTAAGATTTCATATGATGCATAAATAGAAAAATGGGATTAACCTTTTTTTTAAAAGAAATTATATTAATGTTTTAGTCTATTTCTTAATAGACTGCTAATAATTAGCTTTTTTACCGAAAAGGAAAAGTTAATATAACTCCCTAATAACTGGCTTTATATGAAAAGGGAATAAAAATAGGCATTAAAATTCCTATTTTAGTCATAAAGTTAATAAAAATTCAAATGTATAGTCGAATCAAATGTTTCAATACAGAGTTCATACTTTTATATATGGTTATATATAAGACTTACATGATGACAATACATTGGAGGTGCAAACACAGAATAAGGTCTTACCAAAGCATGGGTATCTGTTATTCATTTAATAGTAAAGAAATGCCGTGACACCTTTTCTCACTGCATTTAGCTACAAGACTTTGTGAAGCAAATCTCTTTTCTATGTTTTGGTAAGTAAACGATTAATTTGTCCAGGAACTAAAAAATAAGGCTGCTTTTTACCTTTCCAATTACTATGGCATGAATTAGTCCTCTTGGCACTGCTTCAGGTACATTGCAAGTACGTCTACAGCAGCCAAGCAAAGTGATCCTTGATGGTTCTTATTAAAAACCCAAAAAATAAGGCATCTTTATCACCTATTTAAGAACATAAACCTCACATCTTATGTACTCATAGTATCACAAACCATGAGTCATCAAAATTTCCTATCCTTTAATCATCAACTTAACGCATGAGGTAAAGTGAGATTTAGGAACCAACATAGCAGTTTATATTATTTGTTTTGCATCTTGGAAACAGATCATTACTTAATTGAGCCTAACAATTTGAAATTAGCAACTACTATAACGCATACACAAGGTAAATTTTTTACCCTTTTTACCTTATATATGTTTGTAAGTAACTTCATCATTGCAGATGAACGGTTTTTTTTTCTTTTATCCCAATTTTATTACGGTTTGACACCATAGAAACGGAGATTGAAAATTGAAAACATGAATAAAAAGCCAACCTGCAATGGCGAAGAGACTCATAGCGTTCTTCATCGGTCATCACAGTTTTACCCTTATATTTGTGAGTGACTTCATCATTGCAGCATCCAACCAGCAAATACGTATTTGGAAACCTATCAAATAAATTAATACTATAATTTGTAACAGAATTTGAAAAAAAAATAATAACAATAAAAGAGAAAGGAATCATTAAATTGATGCAGCAAATAATTGAATTAAAACGGAGAGATTTTGAGAGTGATAATTACAGCTTTTTGGCTTGCTCGAGAGAACGGGCATGGCCAAAGTGGAAGAGATCATAGATGCCGTCTGCATATACTCGAACTGGCCTGTCCCTCTCCTCCTCCTTTGCAACCTCTATTGGCCTCGAGCTCTCCTTCGCCTTCTCTTCCTCCATTTTTCTTTTTAAAGGAGATTGCCTTCTCTCTCGTAAAGTAAAGAAAGAATTTATTAGCGTTGCTTAGAAGAGCGCAGAAACTAATGACAGGATCTCTCTCTCTCTCTCCTTTGACATAACAAACTATGCTTCTTCGTTTTTTCAGTTTTATTTGACCAGTTAACGACTTTTTAAGAGAGTAAATTATAAACTAGTATAACGAATTAATTAACCTAACTTGTATTAAAAATTAATCATTTAGTTTTTGATTAGCTGATTATGTTTTATTGTTTAATTTTTAATATTATTTTATTTTTTAAAAAAAACCATATTTTCTCTTCACACTTTTCATTTTTTACTTATTTTTTATTTATTAAAATCAAAAATAAAAAAATCGTCAAACAAATTCAAAATATAAAAATTAAGTAATTAATTTTTTTGAACAAAAAAATTAATTGACTCATTTCTCAAAACTAAAAGAATTGCAATTTATAATTTACCTTTTTCTAGGCGATGGAGTACAAAACGAATATTCCTTCCTCCAAATTCAGTTGTTTACTGTACTCTTTTTTTTTTTTTTTCTTTCCTAAAAAACAAAAGGGAGCTATGTTGAAACACAAACCCATAAGCAAGAAGTAATTAGATCATATTCCTTTGTTTGAATAAAGATTTAATAACAAAATTTACCTTTATTTTATTACGATTTGAAAATTTCTAATTCATATTATCAAATTGGATAATTTAAACTCTCAAAATATAAAATATTAGATATTAGACAAATGTAATATAAATTATTCAATCTTTGTTATGTGTAATTTGACATTTCGTTGTTAATTATGTTTTTTTAAAAAATTAAAAATATTTTTTACACCCTAATCTTGAATTTTTTTATAAAATATTATAAATATTTTATTATTCTATATATATATATATAATTTATAAAATTAGTGGGTCAACTCTCAATTACACTCATTTTAATTTATAAAAAAAAATTTCAAAGTTCAAAATTAGGTGATTAAAAATGTTTATAAAATATTTTTTTAAAAAAAATAATTGACAATGGAATGCCGAAACAACGTCGTTTTGGCATTATAATGATTGGTCGTTACACATAATAAAAATTAAACAATTTGAATCATATTTATCTAATTTTTAATACTTTGATATTCAAATTATGTAATTTATACTATATGCTCGGAATTACTAAATCACAATAAATAAGATAAAATTTACTAATAAACCTTTGAATAAGTGGATTTTATTGTGAACACTTAATTGGTGAGGATTGGGGATTACCAGTTAATTTCACCTTCAATCCTTGCATTACCTTTCTTATTACTCCACAATGGTTTGAATTCCTTTTTCTTTTTCTTTTTTCTTCATTGATTTAGACATCTATTGAATTTGCTCAAGAGATTTTTTATTTTTTATTTAATGTTGCTCACGAGATTTGTTGATTTCTGATAATATATTTTTTTCCAATTCAACAATCTTCGTCTTTGCTGATAGAATTCTTGTGTTTAATGTATTTTTATTTCATCCTCTCCTTTTTTATAAATACGGTACCTACAACTTGCAAAAAGTCACGATCATATATAGAAGTGGTCAAGCAAATGCACAATTGAACATTTCAAAATCGACAACGTTTCTCTTGATTTTCTTTCCTTTTTTTTTTTTTTTTAGTCGGAAGAACATTCCATAACTTGAGCCATCCAATTTGAGTTGAAGGCAAAGTGGGCGTGGAATTTCTGGCATCTTGTACTCAGTCTTCATTTAACCAATTAAAAATAATTTTTTTTTAAAGGTCCTTTAATTTGGTAACTCTTCTTGATAGCTTCATTTTATTTATTTATTTATTTGCTAGTTTTCTTTCAAGTTAATTTTAATTAATTTCTCGAAATTATGGAAATTTTAGCTGAAGCCAAGCTGTGAATATTGATTATTACATTTTTTCATACATAATGCATATTCCAAATAATCCATAAAAAACATTCTTTTTATTTTAAAAAAGTATTTATTTTAATTTTTTTTACAAATTACAAATAATTATTAATTATTATATCATATCAGCATCTTTCGTTCGTACTTTTTCAATGTTTTATTTAAAAATTATATTTGAATAAAGATATTTTAAGAAAATACATCATTTAGATATTTGATAATATAAATAAATGAAAGACAATTGTTTTTAAAAGAAAGGAATATCATAATTTTAATTGTTAGCTAATACGTGGACCTTTATTAAGCGAAGGCAATGGTCCATTCTCATGCATGCTGGCAAACAATCACACAACCTGCTTCATTGGGAGACGTGAAATAATTTAATAAACCTCTGGCTCGAACCTCGACCATACCACCCCCCTCAAAGAATGATGGAACATTGGTGGTGGTGGTGCCACATGCATGGGGTAGCAAGAAGCAGGAACATTTATGCAAAACATCACGTTACGGTATTCGAAGACAGAAAATTGAATCTCATCAGCAGTTCTGCTTGTTCCATGCACCACGAGTCCATGACTCCTCTGATTCGAGGCAAGCCTCCATGGCCTTTGTTTGGTAACGGTTCTATAGACAAGTATTTCAAGCCTGCGTCGGTAAATTACAATGATTTAGCGATCTAACTACAAGCAGGCCTGCGCACTGCATCATCTACGCTAATAAAAAAAATGTTTTCATTTTGAAATAGAAATGTTTTATAATTAAAAATACCACACGAATAGTGATTTATATTTAGACAGTAAATTAGAGAGGGTGTGCAGACTCCATGAACAGTAAAACCACTGTGCACCAACTTAGTTTTTATTCATGAATGGGAGTGACTTGAAGCCAATCTAGCTAATCCACTCCATTCCACTTCCACCGTGATGGTGCTTATGGTTTAAATACAATACGATATGCTTTCGGTTACAGAGATAGAATTAGACAATTCTAGTCGAATACAGTGCTCCATTTTGACTCAATTCATTTGTTTACAATTTCTCTGGTTTGGATGGATTTAATCAAACAATCAACGAGAGTTTTTATCAGTACCAGCAATCTGCAACCTCATCTTGTGTGTCCTGCACATGCTGTTCCTTTGGAGGTCCGCAAGTTTTTGGGTATCCTCTAGAACTGTCTTTACCAGGTTTGGCAAGATCAACATAAATTAACCTGCCATCAAGTGCCTGATGATAAAAGATTACAACACCATGAGTTTTCCAACTTCAAAGTTCCTAAAAAAAATAGTGCAACGTGATGGGCCCAAACCTTATGGTCCATATTTTCCAGGGCAAGGATGGCATCATCTTGAGAAGTGTACTGAATAAATGCATATGGTTTAGACCTTTTAGTGGTTTCATTCTTCACAAGCTTCACTGTCACAGATTGAAAATAAAAGGTTACCAGAATGGAAGCCTGTGCAGGAATTACAATCGGAATTTTTTAATAGTAAAAAACTTCCAATTTATTCAAAGTCTGTTTTGTGAACAATGAGGTGAACAACGTGGTATTTACCTTCAGCTATTTCACCAAAATTTGAAAATTCCTTTTGCAAAGTAGCTTCACTGATAGAATGTCGTAAATCTGCAAGTCAAAACACAAAACTAGATTAAAGAAAATCCAAAACAGCAATATATGATTATGGGTGCTTTGACCATCTCATTGAAGTTCAATATAGGTGCACGAAAACAACCATGCTCACAAACAAGCAAATTGTTTGCATTGTTATTCTTATTTTTGGGCTAGGCTCATAGAAATCCTTACCTAAATATTCCATTATCTTAATATGAAACTAATGATGCTATGCACAACTCTACAGTAAGAAATGTCCTCGTATTGGTGTATCAATTGACTTGTGGACCTTTGATATTTTTTTACATACCAAAATCAAAGAGCACCACAGGAGTTCCACTGAAAGGAAAGAGCTTGGACCATCGAATTTTTCTCTTCCCCATGGAACTTCAAAAGGTGCATCAATTGATTGTATTTGGAGCAGCATATACATTGACCAGAGAACTGAGACAGCAAAGAAAAGGCATGCCTGTTGATTCATAGCATGGCACTTAATTCTCCCCTTAGAATAGAAGTTTAGAGGTAGGATGCCTCGAGACTTCCAAGTGTGAGCTTAACTGGACGTTCACATACCTTAGTTACTGGTTAGAGACAAATAGGGCAGGACTTTGAAGAATTTCTTAAGGGTTCCAAGTTATGATACAAGTGAGGTCCTATAGGGAGACAATATAATAGTTTTCAAAACAGGCTAAATATTATCGGAGCTTTTGTAAATTTGAATAAGTATTCTACATGCTGCCCCTTAAGACAAATGCTAGCAGGAAGTATCATGACCACACAACAAGGTGACTACCTCAGCAGATGGAAAAGTCACCAACATTTAGATTGTCCTTCTAAGTCCTTCGCTTCTTGGTTTGAATTTGAATTGCCTGAGCTAACTTAGAATGATCAATAAAAATTAAAACCCTGTGTCCCTTGTATACTAAACAGTGAGCATGTTTTCTGCTACTCTAGAGGTAGGAGGGAGAAGCAGAGGCCCATTACACTTGCAAAAATAGATGAAAACAATGTGAAACTAAACACTCAAGGAGCAAGATCTCCATTAGAAAAGTTTTTTTCTTCTTTCGAACAAAGTATTATCATTTTCATGGAGATGATTATTACTACTACTGAAGTGAAACTTGTTTGTCAAATACATTTCTTCTCATCATAGAAGCCACAGAGAAAAGGTTATAACGCAAAGAAAAAGACTAATGTTGATGTGCATCTTTGGACTTAATGTTTAAAAATTCGCATTCAAACATTTTCACGAGTAAAGGAAATGCAAAAATTCTAGGAAACCATTCACAACTATGCAAATTGGCATCAAATTCCTCTTTGTACTATCGTAACTCAACCAATTCCTTGCTCATTAGGACTGGTTTTCATGGATTGCATTATGATACTCAGTCCATGGAATTTATGATCAGACACATAGTCTGATTTAGGCACAATTTTGGATCAATAATACATTTAACCTGGGTAAATTGAGTTTGTGGATAATTTCAAGCGATGGCCAATAGGACTACCTTAGTTCAGTCAGCCCTTAAGCCTACCTCTTTCCCAGGGAATGGCAGCACCTCCCACAGGCCAATCTGCTTCAGAGGCAAAGCAGTAAAATCATCACAAAATCACTGCCAAGACTCATGGTTCCTGATAATTATCAAAATGCTCCCAACATAATATGGTGGTCTCCACTGATACTTGACCTCGATTTTCTTTTTATGAATAGCATAGACAAATCCTATTAACAATGCAAGCTCTATTTTCCATGATACCCATTTTTCCCAGCCTAAAAAACTCAAACTTGATTCTTTCACAAACTTCATTAGCTATCATTTTCCTTAGAGAAAGATTTTCAAAAATTTCTGCTATTTCTTTCCATCATAAGTAACAGCCAGTGCAACGAATTCCATCTTATTAGACCTAGACAAGAACACTGGCCCATGAAATGACTCAACTTCCTGCATTAGTGGTAAAACTAGCACCTTGGAATATTTCTTCTTCTCACCTCTGCAGATCAAACATTACCAAGGTGTGGATAATCATACGATCACTTCCTTATATGATCAATGTGAGCACTCAAAAGCCTCCCCTTCAAAGCTAGCCAAAGAACCAAAGCTTACGCAATTAGAGCCTAAGAAACATAGGGACCAAACTGCCCAACAATTTTCCATTCATCATGCATACTTAGATTGTATAGACCAAATGGTTACCTGCCTCAAATAACTTCAGTACTATTCCGAAGTCGTCTTCCCACCATTAATCATGCAAAAATATAAACTTTGGCCTCATCTCATCGCCTTAGCAGAATTAGCACACTTTTGTCCCCTTTGGGGCACCTTTTATTCCGTTCGAAAGCAAACTTGAAAAAACCTAACTTTGGCTCAAAATAACCAAACAAAGTGCCTTCATTGGACCAATCAGACAACGGAGATACTCTCAAAACCACCTAATTGCAACTGAAAAAAGTAGTACGGAATTTCTTCATGGTGCTCAAACACGAAGAATTTGATTTCTTTATTCGGCTTCCGCAAGAAAAGTTTATTCAATTAGCTATTTTAACCATAATCTCTTAAAATTTTGTCGCCCCAATAAACAATATAGAAAAAAGAAAAGTAATCCAAAGTCTCCCACCAAAAATTAACAATGAAAGAAAGACAATTTGCGCGACTTACTTGTAACCATAATTCTGCTTGCGAGAGGAAATTTGTGGTTGGAAAGTGATGCCCTGAGGCTCAAAGTTTTTGGGCTCTTGAAATTTCGTTGAGACATTGAGCTTGCCAACATCTGTGAATGGGTAGAAACCGTTGCAAGCGGTCTTGTTTGAGACATCATCAATATTTTCCAATGCAAACCTTTTTCCTCAGTCGCAATTCGTATCCGGATTAGTTGCTCGCTGCAGCTAGTGTAGAGTTGCATTCAAGTCCTTCCGGTTGCCCGACCCGACGACCTAAGAAGAAACAAAGGTTATTAGAATCATGTGTGGTTTCTCGATTTCTGATATTTGGTTCACTTCCTTACAGGCTACCATGCTACTAAAAGTCTAAAAACACACCAAATTTACCTCTCATCTTTATTTCTTCTTATTCTTTTTTTTTAAAATAATAATAATAAATTTAAGCCTTTTTTCCTAGTAAAGCGCATGAATAAAAAGAAAAAAAAGTGTTATTAAAATAATACTTTTGGCACTTTGGATAAAAGTTCTTTCTTCTCAAATTTCGATAATTGACTAAAACAATTACGTTTGTTTGTTTGTTTTTTAATGTGTTTTGAAATGGTATGTGGGACGATTGTTTTTTTCGTAAAAGAATTATTATTTTTTTTTAATGAAATCTAAACTTTATCACTAATTAATTGATACAATTATTTATATGAAGTTTTAGTATGAATTAATAGTTTTTCAATAAATTTTTTTCCTTTACAAAATTATTGTATCAAAAGATATTAATGTTAGTAAGATTTTTTTGGTATATGTAATTTTTTATTTTTTTTGTATAGCCTTAAAATTTTATAGCAATACATTTTATTTTTTTGAAATTCTCAAATATACAGTTTTCTCTTTTATTAATTATAAATTTTTATTTCAGATTATTAAAAAAATAACATTACAACAAATTAAAATACTGAATTTCTGAAAAAGGAAAGGAAATCTCTGGAGGGTTGTATTGGGACATTTTAAATTCAAGAGCTGGTAAAGAACACTTGAAAAACTAGAAGGGGCAAACAGACTTTACCAAAACTTTATAGTTCTGCTTCAACGATTCGAACCCGAGAACCCCCTTAGCCGCTCAACATATTTTTGCAACTGAGTCTGAGTGAGCATCCAAAACCCTCCACCCCTCTCTCCTTCTGCACCTCACTAATCACTAGGGTTTTAACATCTTTCTCAGGTACTCTCTCTCTGGATCTGCACAACTTATTACTTATTAGCAGCAAAATCTGGTTAATCAATTATCAAAGTTCACTAGATTATGGGATCTCTCCTAACATATCAATCTCTGTTCATGAAAAATTACATAAATCTCTGCTTGTACAAATTATGTTGGGTTCCTGTGGAATGATAAATTTCAGTTTTCCTACATTTTTTTTTATTGCAGTTGAAACTATTATTTGCTGTGTGCCCGTTAAGCTTAAGTATTCTTCTAATGAAAAAGCTCAAGACTTGCATATTCGTTCTTAAATTTCAGTTGTTGTTCTTTATGCCTTAGGGTTATCTATCTGTTACTGTTTATGATTGTCATTTTGTGCTGGGACTTCAGGCCATATAGTTTTCCGAGCAGAAGCTGAAAAAAATGGGTTGTTTGTAGATTTTTGTGTACTGGTTAAAGTAGAGGAGATTGGAGTTTAAAACTTTCCAAATGAGCTTGATTTCAAGATTAAGGCATCATTTACCCAATGGGTTTTCTACAAAACCCATGCTTTCTCCATTAATGCAATTGAATTTCAACGCTGTGCTGTCTCGGGGTTGTGCCAAAGCTGCAAGGAAAGTTGAGGAGGAAGAGGAAGAGGAAGAAGTCGAAATTGACCAGAGGAGGCTCCCAACTGATTATGATCCAGCTACTTTTGATCCCACCGAGCATCGGAGTCCTCCAACAGATCGTGTTTTCAGGCTTGTTGATGAGATCGCAGGGCTCACGTTGATGGAAATGTCTGAACTGGGGACCATTATAATGAGAAGGATGAAATTGACAGAACCACCAACTATTGGGGTTTTGAAGGGTGGTGCTGCTGGATTAGCTGGAATGGCGATGAAGGCACCAGCTGCTGCTGCTAAAGAAGAGAAGAAAGCTGAGAAAACTGTTTTTGAATTGAAATTGGAGTCCTTTGAAACAGCTTCAAAGATTAAGGTAATTAAAGAGGTTAGGAGTTTTACTGATTTGGGCCTTAAGGAAGCGAAGGATTTGGTGGAGAAGACACCATCTGTGTTGAAAAAAGGAGTATCAAAGGAAGAAGGTGAACAAATAATTGAGAAGATGAAAGCTATTGGGGCCAAAGTCGTGTTGGAATGAATGGAAGCCATGTGGTTTACCTTCTGGAATTTTCTATATCCAGTTATTATTTCCTTTAGGCACTTCCATTTCTCAGATGTTTACCGAGTTTCAATTGAGGATTTGTTGGCTCTCACTCCCTTACAGATTCCATCCTTGAGCTCTTGAAGTTGACATTTTGATATGCAATGCTTGATAGGTACGTGACTCAATAGTTTTATACTGAGGAAAATGTATACTGTGAGGCTACAAACGTTCTTTTATTCCATTTTCTTCCTCTATTGTCACATGATTTTGAAGAAAAACATTGGAAATCTGGCTAGATTTTTTTTTTTTATTGACAAATGAAAATAAATCAGCCCAGAATGTTGCATACTGTTTTTTTACCATGCTTTTTGGTATGGAGATCTAGTATCAATTTCTTTTAACGGTTTGTGTTCTCTGCAATCCTTTACCTTCCTCCAAAGTGTCTCTAGTGATGGTTGCTCCACTGATTATGAGGAATCGGCCTCCAGGCAAACAGTGTAGGAGATGGGGTTAGAGATACGTAAGGCTGCCTGGTGGAAGCAGTCTAAGACAACCAAGCGGCCAAAATTGAAATTGGAACTTTGGGGGAGTTGTGAAAACATTTTCTCTCAAATAACTACGTAAGAACTTTTACAAGTTGCTAATATGATGGCAGATAATTCCTTGAAAGTATTTCCTTTTCACAGTAGTTGCTCATTGTTTTGGTTAGAGATGGAGATGCATGTAATGTTGCATCTTACGATGATTTTTGGTTCTCATGTATTCATGGTCATCACTGTACTATAGACCAACAATGGAGTAGTGCTTGTATTGTTAAATAGGCTTTAGCCAGTTCACATGCGTAGGTTGTATGATGAGGATCATCCAGGTGACTGGAGTCATCGATTCACCATCTGCAGTTTCCCGATTCTGACATATGACGTTACCGCATACCACTTCAAAATCGAATTATTGAATGAAGCTGCTTATGAACTTGAGATTTCTCTTAACATGGCCGGTTCATATTTATTTTATTACAAAAATATTTTCCATCCCTTGTCCCGCAATATCGATGTCTGTATTTGCGCTTGCTTAATTGAAAATACCGAAAGATAAAAAATCATTGTTACTAAAAAGATTTGAAGTTCATACAGTGAGTGGCTTTCAAACTATCAATATTTCCTTTGTTGTTACTTGAAAGATATTGGAGAAAACCTAAGGTACTATAAACTTCACTTTTCAAGTAGAAAATGGTGTGAAGGTATGGTGGATTGATATATACGTTAATATTTTACCATTATGTTTATTTTAGAAATATATTTTGCCACCATGTTAATCGATATCACCAGTAATATAGCAGTTCCAATAATCATCCTCTATCCAGCGAGCATCTTCAACAATGAAAATCAGTTATGTTAACAGAAGCAAGGCTTTTTCCTTCTTCCTTTTTTCTTGAGATTTGCTAGGAGAATTTCACAAATTGAATATGAAGGGAGATGCTAAAAAAAAAAAAAAACATAAATATATTACTTCCATAAAAAATTAATAACGGAACTAGAACATAAGACCAACCTTTATTAAAAGAACAACGAACGTATTAACTAATAAAGACGAAATGATCTTTACGAAATAAAATAAGGAGTAGAGAGATTCGATTAATAAAAAAAGAAAAAAGGCTCCAATAGAAAAAAATAAAAAATGTAAGGACCAAATTTAGATAAACCCAAAAGAAATAACTTACGTGTAAACGTAATTTCAGATTCAGATACTTGGGTTCTGCCAAAAATTTTATAATACTCAATGAATAATTAGTGGCATATGCATGTAGTTACTCTATGAATCTAAGTGATGAGAAGACTTTTATGATCGTTTAATTTTTTTTATTTTCTTTCTCCTATTTTTATCTTTTTTATATATTTTTTTAATTTTTTTCCTTTTATTTTTATCTTTTTTTGTATGTGTCTATCTTTTTTTCTAAATAAATATATGAAATAACTACTGTACATGTCACATGTCACTAGATACCCTTTATATATTATAAAATTTCTCAAGGTTCTGCAATCTAACCGACGCATCAGAATAACATTTCATCACTCCCTTGGCCCCCCTGCGAACTTCAAAGGCTAGCGACTAGATCATCCGCTGTACTGCTGCTGCTACCAGAAGTGCTTATTAATATTATGTCCTCGGGAGAAAGGAAACACGAAAGAAAGGACGTAGATCATCCATTTGTTGGCATAAGCGATAATTTGAGGGCTCAGAATACTTAAAAAGAGTCTGTAATTAACATGCATTACATTATGTTTCATTTCATTGCATGTCAAAATAATATTCTAGTTTGGTCCAAGTATTTGGGGTGAATAATAAAGAAATACTTGCTCATGTATTGTGACCATAATACTTCCACTAACAATAATTAAACCATTCGTTACTAAATATATAACAGGCCTAACAATGCAAAAACGAAATAAGTCCGCATTAATACGGGAACTCGTAAGAAGAGATTGCTCAATGCTCATGCCCAAGTTTAGTAAATGTACATTCAAATTGTCAGTCAGAAGATAAATCATGCCAGCTGTCAAGGAGCGCCAGATAGACTTGCAAAATCATGACAGGCCTTCGAAATATGCGCACTGATAGCACTGGCTCTTGTTTGCAGGTCAAAAATCTCTGAGTCTTTCCTCTCCTTCATTGACATGGCCAGTGCTCGTTTCGCTTCTAACTCGCGTATCTTCTTGTCAATTGCTTCAATATCTTCCTCCAAATTGGATCTTTCATGAGTAAGCTCCGCAATTTGAATGTCAACTTCTTTAGCCTGATTTTGAAGCTGTGCTAGCCTTTCTTTGTTCAACAACAAGTCATTAATACGACAGACTACCACCTCAACGTCAAAGCCATGCATTTTCAGGTCAGCAAGAGCTTCCAAACAGCTATAGAAAACATCAAACGGAGAATAGCCTCGCAACTTGGATGTCCTTTCAACCACCTCGGCAAATTTCACCATCTGACCAATAGCAAATCCTTCACGTTCCAACTCTTTACATTTAAACAAAGGTTGGAAATGTGGCTTTTGTGGCATGATTCGGAAAACTTCCAGAGATTCAACCATTCTCCAAACAGGGGAGCCCTTCACAAATGGCATCGCTTGTCTTTCACTCATATCATTGCATTGCTTCAGAGATTTCACAGAGCTATGTCCTAGAAGATGCCAATATTTATAATCCACCAATTTAATGAATCAGAGAATGTTTTGGAGGTCATACATAAGAAATTTTATATTACTCCAAGAGTAACTACCAATTGTTACTCCATAGGCCCACTTTGAGGAGAGAGGGAGATACAAAGATGAAAGTAAAAATCACCTCTGGATCCACCAAAAGTGATAAAATTATTTTCACCTAGGCTAAAAAGTAATTTTTTTAATTCTCCCTTCCTGTTTGTCTTCCTCCTTGTGTCTATCTCTTTCCTATGAAGTAACTATTAGAAGTTACTCCTGAAGTACTATAAAATTTCTCGTCATATTGCACAGTTCAGGCACCCAAAACCATCATAGAGTGTATACCTTCAAAGCGCAACGATAGAGGTTGACCATCATTGGAGGTGCTGTCTGATGTTTCGGCCACAACTGCAATAATTTCTTTAATGTCACCCTCGGCAGCAGTTGAACATTCAAGTTGAATAACTGCATCATTGTTGCTGCAATGCCCTAGCTGTTCTTGACCATATGGAGCATTCAGTATGTCCTGGAACAGAGTCCAATATATTAATTTACCCCAAAGTGATATGGTTGTCTGGAGTTATACCATTTGAGCAACTTAAAAGCATGCAACTGAACATCAGGAAGAATTGCTGAATTAATTTGTCTAAATATAAAGAAGAGTTACTCATTTAAACAAATTGCACAATAGCATACTGTTTATGGTTCAATAAAGTTCTGACAAAGTTGCTTTTCCAGCGCCTACTGCTGTGTCTTTTCTGTGTCTCTGTCGTAGAGAGTTTTCATTTTTCAGTGTGTTGTTCTTAATAGATTTTACAAGTGAAGTGTTTGATCATTCAATGTTTCTTCTACAATTGGAAAAAAAAAAAAGCTTAAAATATACCTGACCACTAAGTTGACAAGAGTTATCTGAAGGGAAGTCCCTCATCTCCGCAGCTAAGACAACACATGAGTCAATTTCTTTGGTTTTACACTCAAGTTCAGTAATGTCTTCAGCAGAGTATCCTTCTGGGTTCTTCTCCACTGCAAATCATTTACATTTGTTCAAAATGAACGTGAAATATCTAATAAATGCCTAGTGAGAAATGGTAAGAACCTGCTCCAACAACCAGCTGCCTTTTTACTAGTGAATTTGATGGTATTTCCCTTCCTTCCACAGTATTCTCTGCTGCAGATTCTTCATTACCTGTCTCCTGTATTAACAAGAAAAGATCCAAGCAAGGAGTATTCGTCATGCAACAAATGAAATACTGTAAAGAGTAGCAAAAAATCACAAAAACTGATTAAGTGGTGCATGTTGCAAAAGTTTGCCAAACACTTCAAAAATCCTAATTATCGATGATTAATACTTGGATAATCATGATGGCACTAAATGTCCTTCAGTTCATGTATTTCTTTGCAAATCATTACATGTGTTAAACCATCTAGTTTAAATCATTAATTAATCAATAAAGGTTACCAACAGAAAAAGCTGAACTCGCAGCATTCATTACCTTGAAATGGTTCTCATTTTCAGTGGAAGGCTTATTGCAAACCAAAGAATGTTTTGAACATATAGTTACTGTGCCAATGGGAGCTTGTGCTTCTTGGTATTGGTTCTCATCTGGCATTGACTTTACATGACACTCTTGGACAGAGTATTTCGTTCTAAATTTCTTTGAACGATCCGAAAGTGTAGGTCCATTGTCAGGTGGAGTTGACTGCCTCATTGGATTCTTCCTTAAATTTTTACAAGGGGTTTTCTCTTCAATCTTATCCTTTGCAGATCTTGAATATTCAAGTTGAGTGGCTACCTTAGCACTTGCCGCATCGTCGTTGGCATTCCCCAACAGTTGTTCACAACTTGCAGTTTTCTGTTTGTGCTGAAACAAAGCCCATTATGTTAGCTACCATAGAATAATTTACTTTGCTAAAGATTACACCAGTTGAGGAATGTGAAAAATACATTGAACTGAACATCACTAATTCATGTTTAATACAATTAATTCCAGACGGAACTTTGTACATCAACTCTTTCATAATATTAATTGTTGCAATTATTTTTCTAATTATGCAAAGGCACATAAAACACAATCCCAGCCATCTAGTTAGACCAATGTTTTGTGTCTAGATATACAATTGGAGTGCATCATGAAAACAAAGCATCTACCTCTCCCTCCCCCGTGACAACAGTTAATGAGAACATGTTTCCCCACGAGGCAGCAAGAGAGAGAGAGAGAGAACAGGTGGATATCAAGCACTGAAAAAGGCCCTCAGCTTCCTTGTGGTTCAAAAAATGAATAAAGTGTAAGAGCACCATAGTTAAACTCTTAAAAGAAGCATGAAACACGCCGTGTTGCAGCAGCGGGAAAATAATTTAAAGAAACCATACCTTGGAATTACTAACCCAGTTTCCATCCACGAAATTCATGTGTGGCCTTAATTCTGAGTGGCTAAATTCCTTCTCCCGCTTTCCATGCCTTCCATGCCTTAGAAAGACAGTGTACCTTCTCTCAGACGGAATTTTGGTAATGGAGCCAAGCCGCCAAGCAGAATCATAGAAAGCATCTACTTTTTCCAAAAGTTCAAACTTTTCAACCTCCAAGTTAGGAGGAGGAGGTCGGATGTGGAATAAATCAACCGCTACTTCAATAGGGCCACTCTTGTCTTTGTTACTTGAGTTGTAATACTCCACCAAGAAAGAATTAAAGTTAACCTTCTGAAGAAAAATCGCTGGGAACCAATCATCATTTGGATTTTCTTCATCTAGATTCACTTCTACAGCCATTCCTCTCCTAAACTTGAATCCTTCCATTTTCTTTGAAGAATCAGATAAATGAAATCAGTTTCATGGAATAAAAGCTTATCATAAACTTAACTAGAAATAAGGATTAAAGTTTTACAGAATAGCACACAGAAAACAAATGGAAAGAAGTTGTACCTACTACTGAATATATGATAAATGCTATCAAGAAAAAAGAAAATCATCACAGGAACATTAATATTTAATTGAAAAAAAAAATTAAACCTCATATTATGGTCCTAAATTATAAAATTTTGATCCATATAAACAGATTAATAATGGGTTTCAGTAGCCAAGTACAAACACATATTTGCTTATAAGTAACAGACTAAAAAACTTCCTGTCAACCAGAGTCTAACAATTACAAACAGTGAACTAAGGGCATCAAGGCACACTTGTAATTGAGGGGAAGTTAACTATGGACTACATAACAAAAGTTGCTAGCTGGTTAAGCAGCCAAAGCAATCTTCCTCTACTCTCTTGCCCATTTCAACCGGTAAGAAAAAAACAGTTTCCATTGTTCTTTTTTTTTTTTTTGAGAAAAAAAGGCAGTGTTTTTAATCAACATATGAATACACACGAGTAGGTTGCACGCATCCAACCTTACAACGAATTGGGAACGCCCATCTTTTTCTCCCGTTAAACTTTGGCCTTATGTTAAAGGGATTGATCAGACATTCCTTAAGTTGGAGTAGATAAATTTAGGAAATGGCAATTCCAAATACAGATGAAGCCATGCAATGCAGGAATGAATATAGGATCGAAGTCCCAAGGTGTCCAAATTCTGCATCTCTAGGGGAGATGAAGTTGAACATGATAATTGTCTCTTTTTAAGGAGATGAGGAATCAAAGTTTAATCTTTGAGGGACATTGTTTTTTCTTTGAGGGGGAAATGAAAGCTTTCTTTATCCTTGCGGCCCCTCAAAGCCTTTAAAACCTCACTAGCCCTGCTGATAGTTACACTGCCAGCAACAAAAGTTCAAAACCTCCCATCATGGTAGTATCGTTGTCTCTTCCTAAGCAGTGAATTGACATTTTAAAATCCTTTGTAAGAAGCAAAGAAACCACTTAAAGGAGCCACTCAGTTTTCTATACCACACCCTTAGGGCTTAACCAAGGAATGAGAAGCAAACATCCAAGATACAAGAACAAGAAACAAGAACAAGAAAAGAAACCCATTGCCAATTATACCAAAAGAAGCCAAAAAAATGGAACCAAAAACTCAGTGAAAAAACAAACCCACGTGAATTCACGCTTCAAATGAAAGCAATTACCTTTTTGTTTTGCTTGCTCATCGATCAAATCAGAAAAGACAGAAACAAACTCGATCAGGTCATGTGGGTCTTCAAAGACAACAGTAACGACTTGCTGCTGTTTTATCTTTAGAGTCTAGTTTTAGCCACCACTCCTTTCCATCACCCATGGTAAGATGCATCAAGCCAACATCAAATGTTTCAAAAATTTGAGAATTAAAGATGGCAACCACAAGGAATTCAAGAGGTTTCAGTATATTCTGGGGTTTTTTTAGCTGATTGGTTTTTGGAGAAGGAGAGGGTGATTTTTAGGAAAAGGGGTGGGTACTTTTTGTATTTTTTTGAGAAATTAATTGGGAAAAATGAGCTTTTAACCTGTGATTTTAGCCGAATAAATTATAAATCAGTGTCTCTATTTTTCAAAAAAAAAATGAATTGATCAGTATTTTTTATTTAAAAAATAATTATTTAATTTTTTATCAGTATTGATCGTAATTAATTTTATTTTATTTTATTTTATTTTAAAATACGATATTTTTTATCAATTTTTGTATTTTTTTAAATAAAAAATTAAAAATATCGAAAATAATTAAATCACAAGAAAATATAAAAATTAAATAATTATTTTAAAAAAACTAATTAATTTTTTTTTATTTCTCAAAATAAAAAAAAATTATAATTTACTTGATGCCCAGTAACTGCTTACAAAATAGGCTCATCTAAGCCTATTGAGTCCAATAGTTAAATGTCATTTATTTACTCCCCTAAATATGTATGACCTAGACAATAATTCCCACATGATACAGAATTATAAGTAAAGAACAAATTTGTAATATTTTCACTTTTAAGTTCTTTTGTCGGATTCCTTATGGATTCATATATTTTATCTTACTATTTTATATATATATATATATATAATTAGAAGATTCATAAATTTATATGGTTACTATTTAATAAAAAAAATCATATATAAATAGTTACAAATTAAGAAGTACTCCTATTTCATGTATTATTGAAAAAATTAAAGTAAAACATGGTTTTACTATTTATTTTGACTATTTGAAACATTATTCACACACTCACAAATCACTATTTCTTTTACCACTTATGTCTTTTTTTAGCATTTTAATCTTCAATTTTTCTATACTTATTTTTTTCAATTTCTAACTTGAATTGGATTACAATTTGGTCACATTTTGTTTTAGGGTGTTCTTTTAATATTTTAATTATTTAAAATTTACTACTTTAATTTTTTTTTATTATAGTCATATGTTATTAATATTATGATCGTATTATAATAATATTATTTTTCTACACTAAGTATTTACTATTTATTTATTTATTTTTGAATTAAATAATTAAAATAATATTTTTTCTTAACCACTCAATGATTCAAATTAATATAGTTTTTTATTTTAATATTATTCTTTCTTTTGTAAATAAATATATAAAAATTAAATTCAAATTTTTTAAAAAATTGATATTCCTATCAACATTAAAATAAAAAAATATTTTTTCAATTCTATGTAAGCTTTTAATAGTTGTTATTTATTTTTTTCAATACAATCTTATGAAATATTAAAGTTTTTTTTAAAAGAATTATTTAATTTTCACTTTAGTTAATAATCTATAGATTAATGAGGATAAATCATTTTTCTAAAAAAAGTTATGAAAAACATAAATAAAAAATAGTTAAATACAAATTTTTTGATTAAAAATTATAAATAATATTTTTTATATTTAATTTCATATATTTTTTAAATAATTTTTTATTTTTATTTAATCCACGCAAAAAACAAAAAAAAAAAAAAAAAAAAAACAGAAGAAAAAGTTAGTCATAAAGTATAAGTACAGTGCGTACAAATAACCATAGCAAACAACAACGGAAACACATATACAATAAATAGAACTCAGGCAAGACTTAGAGCGGGGATGCTTGACAGTTGGATCATGGATGGCTGCTTTTGCAGCACGTTTAAAAAAAAAAAAAAAACATTGTTTCTTGTAGCTAATTTTCTTAAATCGGGCCTAAGAAAGTATCCAATGATTGTGTTAGATTGGAAAAGCTTTCATTTGTAGTTACAGGTTTGTATTTTATTTATTTATTATTATTTTTTTTTTTGGTACATAATATAATAGAACACACAAAAATAAATTCTAAGAAAAAAAATCAAAATAACATTAGTCAAAATAATATCGGTAAGATCCGGAAAAAAATGATAGCAAATCTATAACAATATGTCATCAAAAAAGTCATTTTTAGTTAAAAATTTAACTCTATAATTGTCTTTCCTCGAAATATAACTAAATAACATTGTTCACTGACATAGCAAATACAATAAATATAAAAGAAATTATAATATGAATTACAAGATAATATCTTACTTTTAATAGCACGAACTGATTCTTACATGTCTGTATTCGAAGAAAAAGCTCTTGTTTTTACAAGGGGCTGATGTGGGCAAGCAAATGTACAGTGGTAAAACTGCAAAAATCAAACAGAAAGTTACATAAATATGTACTATGACAATTTCTATCGTTATTTGAAGGCATCACAATTATAGTATCATCATCTTACAAATTATTATATATTTTTATTTATTATATCATTATAATTCATCTTATTATTTAGTAACTTAACTAAATATCACGTAATTATACTAGTTATAATATTATTGCATGACTCAAAAAGTACATTGTTATTTAAAAAAAAAATTCTTCGCATCGTAATAAAAAGAGATTAGCTATTTTTAAATAAGCTCACTTAATTATAATTTTATATTTCATAATTTAACTAATTACTCCGTAAACTATAATCATTACAAACAATTAAGTATAATTTTAATAGAAAAAAGTTTCTTCTCACCTTAACGAAGAAAAAAATACTATTTTGTAAAGAATCATTTTTAACTAATTACGGATTAATAATTATTATATACCTATTATATCGTAAATACTCTTTTATTATTTCATAAAATTGATTGCATAATTATAATGCTTAAAGTATTCCCCCATAAATTATATGGGGTTCTTAAAAGCATAGCTTTTGGGCCCTGGTTTTTATGTTGCTAGTTATTTGGGTAAGGCCCAATGCATGCAAGCCTTTTAATCTTTCAGCAACAGATTTATTTTGTCAAATGAACGATAAAAGGAAAAAAGAAAAGAGAGAGAGAATGACGCACGAGTCGGGACACGGACTTGTTACGCACTTACAATGAGTGAAGCACTGACTTTTTATGCAGAGAGAGAGAGAGAGAGAGAGAGATGGAAAGAACAGGGAAGGTAGTAGTGGAGAAGGTAGGAGGCAAATCCACAGTGACAAGATGCTTCTCTAAGTATCCTCTCAAATTCATCATTCCATCTAAGGTAAGCAACCTCCCCTCTTCTGTTGTCTTCTTTTTCTTCCCATTTGCTATTATTTCTATTACGTTGTACGACGGTCATGTTAACAATCTGAGTTGATCCAGTTATCCTGAATGTTATTGCATTTGATGTTTTCTTCTTAGGCTGGTCCTTGTAAAATCGATTCCGTTTGGATTTACTCCCTCACTTATGGTGGTGGCATCGTCTCTGTATGCTAATGCTCCTCCTTCTCTTCTACTTCAATGTTGTTTGATTACTGTTGTTGCCCTTGTCTTGTTTTTCTACGTGTTGATATATTTTTTGGCTTTTTAATTTGTTCATTTGTGTACTCTCTTGGGCGCAGGGGGACTCTATATCATGTGAATTTGAAATTGGAGATGGATGCACCACTGTCTTAACAACTCAAGCTTCCACCAAGGTTAATTTCTTCTGTGGTTCATTGATAAAAATGACTTTCATTTTAATTCTTGATATTGTATCTCAAATTTGTGCTCAATTCATTAATCTTTAGTTCTTTCTTAACGTACTTGAATAATAGGTCTACAAGTCTCTAGGATCCAAATTTTCAGAACAATTCCTCGAGGTAACAATCTTTCAAAAGCTGAATTAAGTATGTTGACCAAAATACATCATTATCTTCAAAGCTTATGGTAATAACAACATATAATAGCAAAATCCTATGGTATTTGCATTATGCTCTCGATGATGCTTTGTTGAAATACTGTGTTTCTTTGCTTGAAAGTATAACCCAGCAATTGTTTTTCTTCTGAAACCTCAAGTTATTCATGGAATAAATTGGCTGCAAGTTTGTAATTTTGCATGTGTTTCTTATTCGAACAAAAAGATGATGTTTGTTGAGTCAGATGAAAAAGTTCATAAGAAACTCTTTATTCATATATATTGAAGATATTTTTAAGTGATGGTGGCTATTTTATGCCGTGCAGTAGGCAATAGTTGGTAGCGATGCTCTTTTGGCTGTTCTTCCAGATCCAGTGACATGTTTTTCGACTGCAAGATACTCTCAAAAACAAGTATTCAGAGTGCTTTTGGACTCAAGTTTGGTCATTGTTGATTGGTTCACCAGTGGGCGTCATGAAAGTGGAGAGAAATGGGATTTTGATCTCTATAAGAGCACCAACAGCATATTCTTCGATGATAATCAGCCCTTATTTCTAGATACTGTAAAATTCTTTCTGCATCACTCTGTTACAGATTGGGACTGTCCTTATTCATCAATAGTAATGTTATATTTCTGTTCTTTTAGATGCCATTTTTTTTTCCTTCCTATTCTCTCTTTTTGCAGGGTCACCATATTTCTGTTTTACTTCGAATTTCCTAGGCTGCTCCAACTTTTTAATGTGTCTTATCTTGTTAGTTAGTTTGATTCATTTAGTTTTATTCCTTGCCAATGTTTCTTTCGATGCTTGTTAATAATGCACTTCAATTCTTTGCCCCTATCTGTATGATATTTTTGTTTGCTATAATTCACTCTCTTTCTTTGGATCTATCCTTTTGTATTCATTTGGAAGAAACCTATCTTCTAACTCTGTGATTGTTTTTTCCTTCCTCTTTCTTTTGCTGTTTGTTTGTCTGTTTCTCTTTTTCTTTTTTCTTTTTTAAGTTTTTCCAACAAACTGCATGAATTGTCTCCTCATTGAGCATAATTCAAAAGATATCCTCCATTCACGAGTTCTAGTGTCATTTTTCACCTTTGTTGTGGTCGAATTTCATACTCTAGTTATGGCTTCACCCCATTTCTGGAATTGGTTTACTATTCTATTACAGGTATTGTTGGAGCAACGAAGTGTTTCTCCTATCACAGAACGCATGAGGGACTACCAAGTTACTGCAATGATCATACTCTTGGGGTAGATACTTCATTATGTGGTGTAACTTGTCTGCAGTTTGGCGATTCTATTATTTTCATTGTAATTTTCATTAGCTTTAATTCAGCTGAAAGGTCATGAAGAAAGAAACTGATGAGCTGTTGGCTTACAACTTAGTTGTTTCTTTCTTGTAGGCCAAAGCTGAAGCATATTCAAACCGAAGTTCAAGAAAATGTGAAAAGGATGATGTCTGAGCAATTGCACATGCCTTTCACTGGCTCAAGCAACCATGCACAATCAAATTCTGGGCATTTTGCCAAACCATCATTTGTCGCATCTTGTAGTGTCTTTGGTCCAAAGGTATGTTATTATGTCTTGCTGCCTTGATCAATTGACATGGTGATATTACTGCCATTCTTACTCGTCACATTCTTGTTGACATTGAAAGAGCGCTGCAAATTGACCTTCTGAACTAGCTTTCTAATCTCGACCATTGCTTGTATTGCCCTGGAGATATGAATGTAACAAACTGGCGTCTGGTTTTCTGTTGCTGCAGGGAAAAGGTGTTATTGTTAGGGTAGCTGCCATGACAACTGAATCAGTATACAAATTCTTACAGCATCAATTGGCTGGCATGGAGCCACTAATTGGGGTTTCGCCCTATCATTGAAATGCTTGGCAATCCTTTTCTCTGTGCAAATTGTTATTGCAGCTTCATTACTTATGCATGGAATTATTTCTTTAAGCTATGATGCTATCTGTAGCTTCCTTCAAGCAATAATTCGTAGCTGCTTTCATGCGGAGCCTTTTCTGGGACATCTTTCCTCATGTACGAAGTGTATACCATGTAACATGTCAGATGACGCAATTGATGTTAATAAATGTACAAGGCACTTTTCTTCCTCATCAAGCGATTCTTAAGTTCGATTGTTGCTTATTCTGTGAGCTATATTAACCTGCGTTTTTTGAAGCATTCCCAGCTGCTCGGATAGAGAAAATCATCTTCTTTTGAAAGTTTTATGATGTCTACCTTCCATGGTGGGTTGCAAGTTGGGAAAAAAAAAAAAAAATTGGTCCCAGCTATTGCAGTCCTAACAAAAACCTTCTGGTTGAAACCTCCTATAGTCAATTACATATATCATTCTAATAATCTCCAGTTCAGAATTTCATTTAGAGCTTGACAGGATTAAAGAAAGTTTGATCGCTCAAAGGTCCGTTTCTCTTTTAAAACTCATCGGTTTATGTGCTTCACGTTGCATGTCATTTTGTGATGCGAGTAAGGGAGCAACTTCGGTCTAACTGTCTAATAAGATGCATTGTTTTGTACTGTCTAGATATAGGCTGCCTAAAGAATAGGTAAAATTTCTTCATTGGAATAGTTGGGTAGGGTTGATCTATAGAGGCTGCGAATAAACCTACTTATGAGCGCTTTACCAATTGCTGATTTGCAGCTTATTTGGGCCTTGATTTAAGGCTGCTGCGGCCTGCAGGTGACTCTATTCTATATTAGAAAAAACCAGGAAAAGAAAGGATGATGAGATGAGGCACCACCAAAATTCCAATTCAAATCTAAATGAGAGTCAGCAATCAGGTTAATCTCGTTTACATCTACGTTTCTCTACAGTCTGGACACTAAAGCTTCCGTACCAACACCCATTTAGGCTGCGAAAAACAGTACAAATGTCATAAATATATGTAACAGCAGGCACATGACCATTAGTCGAACTTCAAGAGGGATCATTGCTCAAATATATGTATAGATATCATTGCTCAACAACAATGTGGCTGATATACATTAATAAAATTGCACCATTCTTGAGACATAATGACCAGGATATAACAAAACCTGGAACTCTTACAACTTCATCTCGATAATGGCTAATCTATCATAACACAAGCATGGGATGGAAAACCTCATTCCAATGGGTGCCGCACAAATTAACAATATTTGGATAAAATTCAACTAGAATGTAATCTCACAAGGTGCATGAAATGTTCTTCCCCGGCATATGGCTTCTAGATTTTCTCCAGCATAAGAGCACAGTGGTGATACCTCCACACCTGTATTAGACCAATTAAGCAAAGAAATTGACTGTAACACTTTGGATACTTCTTAGAAGCTAGAACTGTGATATAAAAAAGGACACAACCCTCTCGAACTATAGCTCTTTCCCACTATCCCGAGGATCTTAGTTCTCAAAACCACAAGGCACAAGTTGCACAGGGCTGGATCCGTCTTGAGCTATAAATGCTACAGACAGGACTCCTAAATGGATACGTACAAGGTGGACAACTTGGTACGTCTTCAAACTTTAAATGATTAAATTGAAAAACCGTACTTTAATTCACATTCCATTTTTCACTGGGTAATGGTTAAATTGGACAACATGATGGGAGGTCTCCCTTTCTCTTAGAAAGACCCCTCTGTTACCAGCAAAAAGAGAAGAACGAGAGGAAACACAAATGATTGAGCTAGAATCAATCTCGTCTGGAGTGCAAACAAAGGAAGATACTGCCAGGCTAGTTGGTGTCTTTATTCCTGGTTAATCTCAATTGTAATTCGAAGAAGAAATGATCTCCAGGTCTTCTATGATTTATCCAGACCAACAACCTGTCCAGTCTAAACTCTTAAGAGTACCAACCCTCTCCCTTCTTTCCCTTTTCTTCTAGTCTATTCCTATTGTTATAGGCATTTACTTATTTTTCACAATTATACTATTATGATTAAAGCAAGCAAAATAAAGCATGAAATTACCAGTTGCATATAAAGGCACTGAATGTGTCAAAAAGCCGCCTGCAGCAACCACCCAACGAGTATGTAGTCGAAGCAGAAGTAGTCGAGCACTCTCAGGAGTGTCAAAATTTGACCCATTGGCATTTTTTACTGGTGCAAACTCCTCTTCACGTGGTACCTGCACTTTGGTTATAGCACTTGTAAAGTACAGAGAGAGAAAAAAACAAGGGTTGATGAAGCAAGAGTTGTAAATAAAATCACCTCAAAAAGAGCAGTTGAGGGAGCATATGGGAATGCATCAAATATGAATTGCTCTAGTTTTAATCCCATTGTGCCGCCATGAATAGAAGGAATTTTTTTCTCAGCTAGATGGTAACTGCATTCACAATGCATGTGCACATTAAAATCGTCAAACTAATCAATAAGTAGGTATTTATTCAAACTTTAGAGCAAAGTTCAATTTGAAGCCTAGACAGTTCTGCAGCATCATAATTACATGTATTCTACTAACAAGAAAAATCATATACAGCATATTGATTTTATACACTGACAAAACAGATGTTGGTAGGATATAATGTCTTAAAGACTGAAAAGTAGCCCAGTTAGTCCTATCAGACCAACCATATATGCTTCGTGTTTTGTATTCTTATCAGGATTCAGAGTGTGCTACCATGATGCAAATTAAAGGAACCACACTGGTAATATCTTCTTTGTTTCCCTCAAACAATCTAAGCATGGTTGGGTTTACTGTTCTACCATTTAATGGACCAAATCCACAGATTTAAAAGGAAATGCAAAGGACCTGAAACAATTTTCAATTTGAACAAAAATATGTCAATGATGCAGCAAATATGAACTGTACATACAAACTATGTAGAGTCCACACTGGTAATATCTTCTTTATTTCCCTCAAACAATCTAAGCATGGTTGGGTTTACTGTTCTACCATTTAATGGACCAAATCAACAGATTAAAAAGGAAATGCAAAGGACCTGAAACAATTTTCATTTTGGACAAAAATATGTCAATGATGCAGCAAATATGAACTGTACATACAAACTATGTAGAGTCCTTGCTTGCTATTATGTGGTCCCAATACAAGCATTAATCAACTAAATCATGCAAGAGGAAAGAGATCTTCAAAACAAAACATGTAACCACATTGCAGGAAAGAATAAACATATCGAGTAGCAATAGTTAAATCTTATTTAATCACACTCTATGCATGAGAAAGAGTCACTAACATGCTGTCTTTCTCAAGGCCATTTGCCACTTGGTTTAGAAAATCCAAAGTAAACATGTGTAAGCATACCTGAAAACCAAACGTAACAATAGCTCAGCTTCAGGAAGGCAAAATTCCGAGAATGCGGAACCATGATTAATGCATTAACTTTAAAACTGAAATATGGTGCAACACCATTATCAAATATGTTGATGGAAAAAAATATTAAAACGAGATAGCACATAGTTTGGTGCAAAAGAATGGAACTTCGTTCGTGTTCTCTCTATCCACTCTCATCCTTTTTGGAACTATTTTCAAGATTTCACTCCTCTTCTAATACCAACTACAGTTTTCACAGAAGTTCATGACAAACTGCAATTTTCCAAGTAAATATGTGTCACCTCGCCTAGAGTATCTAGCTAAGACTTATGAGCTTCCAAAGCACAGGTACACCAATTCATGTGATTCCAAAAATCATCGGTAGAAGTCTAATGCAACCATAATTGAAGTGGTTGAGATTGGCGAAAATAAAACCAATTAAAAAGAAAAAGAAAATAGAAGAAAATAGAAGGATTAAATTGTGATCTCATGAATAACATAAAAAATTACTGCACCCAAGAAACTCTTACGAACTTCTGGCAATCAATGATTTGAATTTTTCATCTGGAAGTGCAATAAGAATTATGTTAACATGAAGATTAAAAGAACAAGACAAAATCAGACTATACATTACTCCAACAAAAACGAAGACGTCCAGTTTGTTGATTGATAGCAGAAGCCAGAGACTGATCCAGCTCACTGTATTCAACCACAGTGAGAGGTCCACCTTTACCACGCCTTACAAAAACACCAACCTTTTCTTGGGGGTATGCCTGTAATCAAATAGATTATAGCTATTAAGCTGCACTAATTTTGGAAATTCCTGTCGTACTAAAAAAAAGACCAAATTCAACATTTGATCAAACATACTCAGAATTAGTTTCTAACTTTTCTAGATTAATAAATTCAACCACTGTAAACTGCAATATTCTCTCGATTCTTTAGTAACTTCTTTGTGCTAGTTGTTTACTCAAAAGTCTTTTGTTCTTATAACCCCTGTTGGCTTGTGGAGTATGACTCTTGCAGCAGCAACAGCTTATGTTTTATTAATGATTTAACATGAGTCCAATTGTACAGAAAGATTACTTACCTTACGGACAACTTTTGCAGCAGCCGCTACACCTTTATCAATGAAATATCCCAAAAAAGCTGGATCAGCTACACGAACCTGCTTTCAATATCCTAATCACTACGTCTTTAATTAAGAAAAATTTGTAGAATTGAAGCACTGAAGGAGCTGAAAACTCACCAGTGCATTGTCGACTCCATAGCAGTCCACATACTTGATCCCTCTTGAGGCCATATCTTCTAATAATTTTGAATATTGCAGTGCTGAAGTGCAATTAGAATAAAACCAAAGCAATAAGCAGCCATGTCATAATGAGAAAGTGGGACTTCTCCAGCATGTTACGCTAGATTTTGAAAGGATACCTGAATATACTCCTCCATTCCCATCAGGAGCCTTAGCTACCTGATTTTAGAAAATCAAGATCAAGTAATTGAAAGTTGAAGTGAAAGATAAATTTAGACCCTTCAATGACATGGGAAGATAGAATCATTATTTTGGGAGCAAATAAAAGTTATCAAAACTATTAAGGATTCCAAGAAAAATCCAGGGGACTGTATAATCTACATTGGCTAAACAAAATATTTAAGGACTCTAATTAGCTCATTTATAAGAAGAGGCCATACTCTGAATGGAGTCTCCATGATAAATCTACCATCCTTGGAAACACAAGGTATGGTGCCTTGCTGGAAGAAGGTAACCTGCATCCAAGAAGTGTCTTTCAAATTAAGCAAAAAAGGGTAAGATATAACTGATGGAGTATTTGTAGATAGCTGATGAACCGAAGCTTCCGTGCCTGATCTGCTTCAAGGCCAAAATACTTGTGATTTTCGAAAAATTTTCGTGTGGCTTCATCAGTAAATGGGCTGGTCATTATGTACCAATGTATTGAAACTGAACAACCAGAACCTGCACCTGATAAATTTTAGGGACAGCATGTAAAATAAGGCATGACATTAAGAACCTAAAGAATAAAAACCTTACCTTCACTTGAAGCTTGAGCTGCTAGTCTTTGGACACACAAAATTCGCTCAGCTTGAAATTGAAAAAGCGACTTGCCAGATGGAAGTCCAATATCTGAAATGAAAATATATGAAGTGTGGAAACAGAAACATTATGGAATATTTTGACATACATTTCGTATTCAAATCACTAAAGTTCTCAGTTTCGGATATATCTAACTGGTACATGGAGCATCCCAACAGTCTTTTCATAATAGAGAGGAGGTAACTCTAAAGTTAATTAGGTGCATATAAGCAAAAAAGACAAATCCCAGGAAATGATTATTGTTATCTCTTTGATTTTGAAAAACTCGTTCAAATTAGGGGGAAAAAATACACTTGCAGATACAAGGACATTACACCTCATGCTCCGGAATCAGATTTAAAATTATAGGGTTGCAGAATCACCTATTCAAGCCATTCTTCACTCAATTTTTATCTTATAGCCAACTCGGCCACTAAATCTTCTTCTGCTTCAACAATTATGTGTAATGAGTGAGTGCCAATATTTAAATGCATTTCATATTCTCCAGTACACTTACTGAGTGCATTTGCATGTGAGTATGCATCCGTGTGTCCAGTTGCAAGATAATATTCCAACTTAACAAGACAGCATTGATTAAGAAAGCAGAGAAACTACAATGAAACAAAATGGCTTTCCAAATCAAAAGAAATTGATAATTACTCACTGAAACATCCTTTTGGATCTGAACTTCCAAGCCTTGTTCCCTGAATATTTCAGTTATGGAAAAACACACAAAAAAAATCTGTCAAGATCACATTAGAAATGGTGCAACAAGTGACAAACAAGTGTGAAGCAGTAACGACACAAGACATAAAAGATCATGTGCACATGCAACCACAAGTGAGAATGTGTTATCTGCAACCATCCAAGCATAAAATACATTAATCCTGGATAGTTTTGGTAATTCAACATAGTAAAGTGTTCTCTTAGAAGGCAAGGGATGAAAGGAGTGAGGCAGTTAAAACCTTTTTCTCTGTTATGGTCCGCAAATAAATGGCTCCATTACATTAACAGATAAAAGAATATATAATTAAAGAACATCTCTGTAATTGCTCCACTAGTTTCTCATGAAATTTTAATAGTTAGGAACTAGATGATATGTCTAAATTCGTACATTGTTCTATCTCAAGACAATTGGTATCTTAACATTTTCCAATCCACATCTAATGATGCTCAAACAATTTTCTCCTGCAATAACTAATCCCAGCACATATGGCTCTGGCTGGCCTTTAAAAAAACGGCAAATCTGCCGACATATCTTCTGTGATAAGTAAATAGATATTCAGTACAGTATATTCTAAAGAAAAAAAGTATGCATAATTGCCTACAGCATCTTTTAGATGTGTAATAATTATCCTAAAGAACAAATCACAGCCCTTATTTCCAAATTATTATCTGAACATATCCATTAGCAAATTGTCAAAAGTGTGCTTCCATAATAAAAGCAACATTATACCGACCAAAAGAGAGAAAAAGACAGACAAACCGGAGGTAAACCTCATTCAATAAATAGTTTTTAATAAAGTAAACAGTGATTGATTTCTCTCTTATTGGTTCCTACTTTTACATCATTAATTGAACACACACACATACATCCAATCATCAAATTGTCTTTGTGTGGAAATCGTCCCAAAAGGTACACATCATACCATAATTATGCTTGAAAAGTGTGAGAATTAAATAAATAAATAAAGAGATGTAGGTATGTATTTCCTCAAGCAACAAACACAACCACTTTTCAAGTTTCAAAAGCATAGAATTCACCAAAACGAAAAGAATAAAATAAAAAAGTAATCAACAATTTAACACTAATTACTGAAGAAAAAAAAAGGCAAATAGTACCTGGCCACCGGATAATAACAAAACAGCCAATTTGCCATCAGAGATTGCCTTCAATCCCATCTTCCACCATCTCTCTCTTTCTTCTATTGTTCTATCCTCTACCGTCGACACGGTATTCTCCGGCACCGGCTCAATTGCCGCCACCGGTAACCCTGTAAATTAATCAACAAAATGAATAAGTCACACACAAATAACTACACATGCATATTAATTAATTTCAACAAGATTAGAGAGAGACCTTGAGATCGAAGCGAACATCGAATTATCCGATCCAACCTTGGAAGATCTAAGCTCTGCAATTAATAATCAGATTTAGCGTCAAAATTTAATTAAGATTGCGAGAAAAAAGAGAGGGAAGATCTAATGGAATGAGAGAGGCGTGAATTGACCTCGATGTCCTTGACGAGGAGTTCTCGCTCCTCGGGAGAGAGTTCGTCCCAGAGGGCAAAAGCGTCTTCCTGGCCGTAATCTTTGAGCCTCTCCAACAAAGCTTGTGGAGGTGGTGGTGGAGGTGATCCGTTGTTAGTTTCGATTGGTTCTCTCATTTCCAGATTCTCTCTCTAAATCTGTCAGGAAATTTTCTCTCTTTAGATCTCTCTCTCTCTCTGGCTCTACGTTTCAGTTTCGATTCGCTGGTTAAAGCCTTCAAAGGCTTATAGCGAGACAAGAGAGTGAGTTAGTGAGTGGAACAGTAGCAATCAAGTCTGTTTGTTTGTTTGTACGTCCCTTCTGAGTAACTACCTATTCGATCCTTTTCAATTACAGATTTGCCCCTACTTGGTAATTCCAAATTACGATGTTATGCAACTAACTAACTATTGGTATTGTGCTTTTTCTCCTGGGGAAAACTCAGATTATTAGTCCCTTAATTATATATATTTTATAGATCGAATCCCCTAACTACCAATCCTTCATCTCCATACGTTTACTCAGGCATATCCTTCTATTAAAACGATTAGAGATGACGTTAAACAACACACTTTTAGTCATGTTTTTCCTAACTAATCCTATTTTGATAAAGTTTTAAATGTTAAAATAATTTTGTTTTGCTTTCATTCATCCTGTGTAATCACAATGTGATCAAAATATAAAATTGATTTAATTATGTCTTGATTTATCATATTTAGTCTGAAAACAAAAATAATAATTATTTTTTTGAGTCAATTAAGAAAAAATTATTAAAATGTAAACTATTTAACTTCATCTCTAATTATTTTACTCCAGGAACCCGATTGGAAAACTGTGTAAGATAGGAAGTTGATCGAAAACATTGGTAGTTGAGGGATTCAATTGAAATATATATATATACTCACACACTGGGGGACTGGTAGGAGGTATCTCGATTTAGGTTTTATGCATTCATGGATGTAACCAATGGATTGATTGCGAAGAATTAGCTATCTATACACGGCATTTTTTTTGCTTAAAATATTTTCCCACGTAAAATGTCTTTTTTAATAATATTTAATAAATAATAATTTAAAAATATAATAATAAAACGATTATGATTATGTGTTGTAATAATAGAAAAATGATGCAACGATGGTAGAAATAGAGGTGATAGCAGTAAAATTATGGTGGCAATAGTAGTAGCATTACTAGTAGAATGACGATGGTTAAAATAGTTAGTTAATATTGTAAGATAATTTATATCTATAAATTATCTAACGAAACTTCATGATTATTTTTTAAAAAATAAACTAAGTTTAAAAATTAATTATAAAATATTTTTTATCAATTTTCTTATAAAATATTTTACGCAAAACCAACAGCTCTTAATACAAGTAAACCAAATCAACTAAATTAATGTATATAGTAAACACTAGTACTCTTTTTCGTTGATATGTGAACTCAATTCATTTGATTAATTTAGAAGTATTCTTGTTATTGGACTAATGTATATGCATGGAGAAATTGGGATTATGCTCTTTTTTTAATAGATTATACTAGATTTTTTACCCGCGTTACGCTGCGGATTGGATAAAATATATAAAATCATATAGAAAAATTATTTCAGTTTAATAATCTGTTTTATGATAAAAAATAATTATAATTTTTAAATGAAAAAAAATTATATATTTAACTATTTCTTATTTATGTTTTTAAATTTTAGAAATAAATAATAAAGCAAATAAATTATTGATTTCTTTAAAATTTTAACACCCGATTAATTGTTGGTTGTTTTAAATTTTTAACACCTAATATTATGAAAAAATTAAAATTAAAAAAAATTCAATGTTTAGGAAAAAAAAAAAAAAAGGAGGCCAGCTGTTTACTGTTCATGTGAATAGTAAACGAACGGAAATAAAAAAAATAGTGTTTAGAGAAAAAACAAAAGAGGGCAAGCCGTTTACCATTCAAATGAACAATAAACGAGTAAAAAAAGGAGGGGGCAGCAGGTGTTGACAAAAAAAAAAATAAAAACTTAAAAAACAAAAAAAAGTCAAAGTAATATAGCAATGAACAGTGATTAACACTCGTTCATTGCTACAGATGAAAAATGATTTTTCTTTAGTATATAATATTAGATTTTTTACTCGCGTTATGCTACGGCTTGGATAAAATATATAAAATCGTTTAGAAAAATTATTTCAATTTAATAATCTGTTTTATGGTAAAAAATAATTATAATTTTTTAATAAAAAATTTTGTATTTAACTATTTCTTATTTAAAAAAAATTAGAAATAAATAATAAAAGAAATAAATTGTTGGTTTCTTTAAAATTTTAACACCCAATTAATTGTTGGTTCTTTTAAAATTTTAACACCAAATACTATTAAGAAACAAAAATTTTTAAAAAATTTAATGTTTAGAAAAAAAAAAAAAAAAGGGTGCAAGCTGTTTACTGTGTCATGTGAACAGTAAATAGATTGAAATATTTTTTTAAAATTCAATGTTTACAAAAAAAAAAAAAAAGAGGGAAGTCGTTTACTGTTCAAATGAACAGTAAACGGAGGGAGGACGGGTGTAGCCAAAAAACTATTAATGAAAATTTAAAAAACACTGTAGCAATAAACAGTGATTGACACTGTTCATTGCTACAGTGAACAAGCATTTTGCTTTAGTACGTAGGATAATACTACATTCAAGGACGCACAAGAATTACGTGACTCTATCCAAAGAGGTTTAATTATTTGTTTTTTAAAAAAAAAAGAAAAAGAAAAAGGAAAAACTATCCAAAAGATTGAATGTTGGTATGCCGATATCAGATACATACTTAATGTTGAAATCTTTAATTTCAAAATAGCCGCTTCGACATTTTAAGAAGGATTTTTTTTTTCCTTTTTTTCAAGAGCAAATAGTAACAATTAGAAGGGAACATTATTCGGTTTAAATTAAAAAATCAAACTGAATCAAATTGAAGTAACAATTTTGATTCGATTTTTAATTTAAAATTAAAAAAATATGAACCCCATTTATTTTGGTTTGGTTTTTAAATTTTTTGCTTAGGCTTTCGCGGATAATCGATATATATATATATATATATATATATCTTAAGCTTTTAATTATTATTTGAATTGTAATAGTTTACAACATATTTGAACAATTAATATTTTTTTATTATTATTATATATTTTAGATGTGGATTAATATTTAAATTTTGATATTTTATTATATGGCATGGTTTTATGTTTTAATCTTATTTAAATAGATATTTTATTATTTTTTATGTATGCTAATTTATACCATTTAGACTAGAGGGATGACTCTATAGTCCATCACAAGAATTTTTTGGCCCATTTACATGATGTCAAAATTTAAAAAAAAAAAAAAAAAAGAAAAAAATCGATTTTAACCGAAAAACCAATTTGAAAACCAAAAATTTCGGTTTAAAACTAAATAATAGTTCAGTTCAGTTTTTGTTTTTGTTTTTGTTTTATTTTTAAATTCAATTAATTAAAAACTGAATCGAAATATTAAGAAATATTAAGAATTGAAGCGAAACACCAAATATTCATCCCTCGCAACAAAGCCAACAAATCTTGGAATTAGATGAGTTTAGGTAAAAAGATATCCAACAGCTCATTTTCCATTGACTCAATATTGCTTTAAAGTAATATTGGTATTGCTTTGTAATTTTTTGTTTCATCTTTTACTTTACAGATCATGGTTTGCTTTTAATTTAATTATCTTTATTAGCTTTGGAACAATTATTGCTGCCCTTTGGCTGATAAAATCCAGGACTAGGAGTAGCATGTGTAAAACAAAAAAAAATAATAATTAATTTCGAAAAAGAATAAAAAAAAGAAAAGAAAAACATATCATTATATGGGAATGATTTTAAGTAATGGATCGATCGAGATTAAGGCAATCAGTTTTATTCTTCTTTATTTCAACAACCATATTAACTTATATGATTCCAATCAACTTATTTTTTAAATCCAATGATTGAATTTGCATGCATGTAATAATAATGCAGAAAGTAGTAATCAAGTATTGTTTCCAAGTTCCTTGTTTTTTTAATCTGTAGCAACTTTTTGTCATTTGCAAAGCAAACAAGGTAGATGAAATAAAAACATACTCTATTAATATTGAATTAAATTCAAGCATTGTCTATTAATTGGGAGAAGGGTCCATGCATTATGCATATGCCTCCTACGCACCCTGCAACTGTTAGCTACTAGCTAGCTAGCTAGAGGCAAGGCCTCCATACCTCTAGTATCCTGATGGGCCTTATATAATTAATTGATTTTCAACTTAGCCCTACCCCATGTATGGAATTATAATCTAATCATGATTTATAGTTATCCCTCAATTTTTAATTTTGATCAAAGCATGCACGATGATACTTATCTCTTCCTCTCTTTTTTCTTATTATTATATTGTTAATAATTAATATTCAGGTAGTTGAATTAAAAGGGTTGTACAACAGTAGGATGTGAGAATTTACTTGCGACCAAACATTTATAGGTTAATTGCTTGGTGTGACCTACTTAATAAGTTCGGTACACCTTGCCATCCAGTCTCCAAGGTTTTTTTGAATCTTAACCTTGTTTTTTAAACATTTCTTTTGTTTCCAATAGCATTTGTGTACTTTCGTTACAACTAAGTTTATTATATTCACTCGCTCGAGACTACCAAACCATTACAAGGAAGAAGGAAATTGTAATATTAGAAAATAGAAGAGAAAATGTATTTCTTTTTAACGTATTGAATTGCACGGATGCAAAGACTTTATATATATATTCTTACATTTCTAATATTGGAAATATAATTAAGAAGATTTCTATGATAATTTTACACATATATACCCACAAATCAAAGTCCATTAATCAAGCCCAAGATGCTCTAAGATATTAAAAAAATCATCCTAACATATTCAACGTGAGATATTTGCAATCATTTTAAATAATCCGACATCTCTCCTAAATCTCATGGTGGTAAAGCCATGCAATTTGAGTTTGAAAACTATATATTAACATAGACCTAATGAATAAGTTTTTACATAAATATCGATAGACCGATAGATTGATCCGTTAAGGAATTTGAATGAGTTGTATAATATCATTATAGACATGTAGACAAATGAAGTGAAACAATCAT